TTTCCCAGGAGTTGGTCAAGTGATTATTTATTTTTGAAGATATAATTTGAGGTACAAATTATCAAAGCAAAAAATCATCCAAAGAAGAACATTGAAAATGCATAAATACTATAATAACTCCTTTATACATAATTTTCAAATACTGTTGATAATTACTCACTTGATTATAAACAATGACTATTTTACTGTTAGCAACCTAGGCAAGGTTGGCATCGGATCTGTGTGATATAGATACATCTAAGGCATATTACCTAACCTCTAGAGTGGCATCTCAGGTTGAAATAGTGTGTAGATTCCTTCAAATCACAACAAAATAAAACATAATGTATGACCCTTGACTTGGCTTAAAATATTTTGATTATATTTCTCAAACAAATATGAGTATAAAACTAGAAATACGTTTCTTATCCTTATAGCTCTTATAAAATTAAAACAAAAAGAAATTTACAAAGCAAATACTAAAAAAATAATAAATGTATCTTAGTACAAATCTACTGTGACAGATGATGTTTTGCTGAAACCAGATAGTTGCATACAATGTAAATATATTGCTGTTAGGGCATTAATTATTGCAGAGTGCATAGTTTAACACAATACAACCATGGGCTATATAACAAGTGATTAAGTTTTCCAACTCATTTCTCCTTTTGACTCCAGTGAAAATTTTGCACCACATTTAATATATCATTTAGCTTTCATTTGGTATAAATGGATTGTTTATTTACTAACCCATAAGCCAGAATTATTTTAAATAACACCTCATGACACAACACATTTCAACAAAAGCAAATCCAGACTCCATAGTTAGGGCATTCAGCTGATCCTAGGTTCATAATATGCTCATGTTGAAACTTTTCAAACTATTGCCAGTGTTTATGAGATTGCTGGGGGAAACTTGTAGGATCCCTCAGAGTAAACTTGCAGACTTCAAGGAGAGAAACATGACCCTAGGAACATATTATTTAGCTATAAATCCTTCTCTATTTATTCTGGAAAATCATTCTCTAAATGCCATCAAAATTAAAATGTTAGTTCAAACATGTCATAATTTTCATGTTCTTAGATTCTTAAAATAAATATTTCATATTTGTAATTAAAACCAAAAACCATTATGTCTAATCCCTTTAATAATGAACTAAGACAATGTTAGTGTGATATGCCTAAATCATAGTCACAAAATACCATGGGAATGACAAGATTTTAAAAATTAATTATATTAGACATTAATTATCACACTAATACAAGATTTTCATTCAGCTAGAATTTTATAATTCAAACATTTCTTGAATAAAAGAAAAGCAAATATTACAAATGCAAAGCAAGGTTAATCCCATTTCAAGTAGCATTTTGCCAGTCAAATCTCCTTTTTCAGCAATTCAAGTAATCCACCCCGGTATTGACTGACTTAAAAAAACACACGTTTAATAATTCTTTTAGTGATGAATTTATAAAGATTGCAAAAGAAATAGCTGAGAGGAACTGAACCTACTTCTATGGAATGAAATGCAGATTAGAAACAGTTAATATAAGGAAAATATATTGAATAAATCACCCATTAAAGATACAGAATAGTTATAACATGAACTCTGAATTTCTCATCACAGGACATATATGGATAATTAGCTAGTGATATATTGGTATACATAAAAATACAGATATGAATGTGATTATAGATAAGGAGAATTTTAAAAAGTATTTTTATATGGATATAGATGCAAAATGTGGTAAAGAAGAATTTTTAAAATATACATATAGAGGTAAGGATATAGCTATAAATGCAAATATGGTTAAGAAAGATTCAAAATAATATTTAAGGATATAAATGATTTAAAATGAAAGATGTGGAAAAGAAGGAAGGCAGAAGGAATTCACTAAACTTTCTCATAAACAATTTAGTATCAATGTCATATGGACAATGCATAACTTTTAATCTGATAACCAAAAATGACCAGTGTCATCTGCACTCCTCCTCGTCTGGCCCCTTAAGTTTGCCTTCCCAGTTTGACTTTGTTTTTCAATATCTACATCTCATATCAGTTGTCACTTTTTAGTTTAACAGCTCAAATGCTGATTTTAGAGTGACTTTCTACTGCTACTGGTGTGTTGTGACTAAAGATTCCATCTTTCATAATTACTTTTTTTTTAAAAATGTATTTTTACTGATTTCAGAGAGGAGAGAGAGAGAGAGAGAGAGAGAGAGAGAGAGAGAGAGAGAGAGAGAGAGAGACATCAATAATAAGAGAGAATCATTGATCAGCTGCCTCCTGCATTGATTAGTTGCCTCCTACATTCCCCTCATTGGGATCGAGCCCACAACCGACCTGGGCATGTGCCCTGACCAGGAATTGAACCACAACCTCCTGGTTCATAGGCCGACACTCAAGCACTGAACCATGCTGGCTGGGCTTTCATAGTTACTTTTAACTGTTCTTTGTAATCTGTACCATACAAAATATTCTAGTGTGGTTTAGAACAGAAATTGTGGCATCAGATAGATTGGCATTCTAACCTTGGTTCTACAATCCATACTTGTGGTATGACTTTGGATAATTAGTTTAACCTTTAAAAACAGGGGAGGACAGTGCTTACCTCTCTCTGTTGCTCTGAGGACCAATAAGAGAGCATACTGTTGTGCATATTAAGCATGATATACAAGTGTAGGGTGCTTTTTTCTTACATTAGATTTTCACTTTTCCTTTATGACTTTTTGTGTGTAAATGCACTGCTTTGTTGTGTTGTTATGGAAAGTTTTCTAGAACACAAAAGCTTTAAGACAGACAATAATATATCCAAGTAAATGACACCATCAAGATTCTCTTTTAGTAGGAAAATGTCTTTTTTTATGGTTTTTATCTCTTTCCTAGCACCAATATTCACAATTTCACATATTTTTGGTGTGAAAAATAAGCTAATCTTCACACCAACTTAAATGTTTCCCATTCTCAATGTTTGAGTTAAACATAGAAATCAACTTAAATGTTATCCATCCTCTATGTTTGAGTTAAACATAGAAATAATGCTAAGTAATTGCAAAAAAATTAATTCAATTTCACAAGTAAACCTGCAGCCAAAAAAAAGACCCAAGAAGCAAACTGTAAATTCAGGAAACACATTTTGTACAACATCTAGGCCATAATATTAGTAAAGGTTTAATGATATGAGATTAAACACACACACACAAAGGAGAACATGCAGGCCAATCTAAGAAAAACCAAACAACATTTTCTTCATTAAATATGCTTTATCACTAAATATAATAAATAGTATATTACCCTACATTATAATTGCACAGTTATATGGACTGTATGGATACCCCAAAATACTCTTTTAATAAAGACAATTGTTATTTTTTGAGAGTATCATGCTAAGTAATATAAGTCAGATGAAAAAGGACAAGAACCATATGATTTCACTCATGTGTGGGATGTAAAACAAAATGCAATGAATGAACAAACAAAGAAAGAAACAGAAAACAAACTCATAGATACAGACAACAGAATGGTGGTTACCAGGGAAGAAGTGGGTAGGCGAAGGATAAAAAGGTAAAGGCAGTCAAATACAAGGTTATGAAAGGAGACTAGACTGGGTAGTGAGCACACAATTGAATACACAAACAATCCTATATAAGAGGGTAATATGCAAATCTACCAAATGGTGGAAAGACTGGTCCTTATGACGCACACTGACCACCAGGGGGCAGATGCTCAACACAGGAGCTGTTCCCTGGTGGTAGTGTGCTCCCACAAGGGGAGCGCTGCTCAGCCACTGGCGAGCGCAGCAGCCCACTTCCAAGGCAGTGCTAAGAATGTTCAACTGCAGCTTAGGCCTGTTCCCTGTGGGGAGCGACCTAAGCTGTCAGTCGGACATCCCCCTGAGAGCTCCTGGACTGCGATAGGGTGAAGGCTGGGCTGAGGAAACCCTCTACTCCCTGTGTAAACCAATGTCATGCACCTGGCCTCTACTGTATTATAAAATTGTATACCTGAAACTCATATAATATTATTAAACAATGTTACCCCAATAGGTTTAATTGAAAACACAGAAAGAAATAAAATGTAATGCTAGAAGAAAATATGAGAACTAACATAAATAGAACAAATATTTGCGAATGTATATATGAAAAATATTCACTATTGTTTCACTTTTTTTGTGAGTGTTGCACTATTTAGAGCAAAACATATGCTCCTAGACTTAATGTGAATATGGTTGTATTTAACTTTGTAAATCAAATTTATACTTCACATATTTTCATATCTTTAAGGGCAAAATTTAAATGCTACCTTTGCCATGAAGTTTTCCCTAGAAAGAATTACTGTTTGAAATATCATTGCACCTTATAACCATCTCATTTGCTTTTATACTAAGGCACATGTCTCTGTATGTTTAAGAAGGCCTAGCACCGCATGTCATCAATATAGTAAATGCTAAAATCAAGTTGAAAGAAATAAGTTATTCTAAAGAGTAGGCATTTAAAAAAAAAGATTTCCCACTGATTTTTAGAGCTAGAAGAAGGGAGAGGGAGAGACAGAAACATCGATGTGAAAGCGAAACATCATGTTGCTACCAGAGATTGAGTCTGTAACCGGAGCATGTGCCCTGACTGGGAATCAAACCATCAGACTTTCGGTGCACGGGAAGATGCCCAAACAACTGAGCCACACTGGCCAGGGCAGGAGTAGGCATTTTAAAAAGAATGTTGTACTATGGTTATTTGCGTGCATGTTTGTACCTTGTACCTTTGAATTAAAATGCATCAAGATACCAGAGTAAGATATCTAAAAATAGAGGCTGTAACATATACTAGTCCATCCCCAGGAACATTTCACGTAAATAAAATTTTGTTGTAGAAAAGAAACATAACATCTGATTTCCCATCCATGGAAGCAAAGTTAAGTTTTCTCTAAACATTGATGGGGGAAATTGGATCATTCTAACAGAAACAGATAACTTTTTGGTGGAGCAGTGCAAACGCAGAGTGGGACATAACAGGAGGGACTTACGACCATCTTGTTGAGCGACACCCAGCAGTCGGAGGGGAAGTCCTGTAGCAGCGGCACCAGGAACTGCAGGCAGCCGTCCCAGTGGCACAGCAGCAGCATCATGCCGATGAGGTTGAAGATGCGCACCACCGCGCTGGCCAGGTCGTAGGTCATGTGGAAAATCTGGGACCAAAATATAAAGTCGGTTCTTATAATCAAATTTTTTTTAAAGTCAAGAAGACTACCAATGTCAGTAGTCATTGATATTACATAGTGTAAGTACTGATTTCATAAAAATATGAGAAGACTTTTACAAAGAGAAACAGAATTCCATTTCTTTCTCTCTGCACAGAGACCAGGCATTCCGCTTTCTGAATACTACAAACGACTGTGAGTCCTCCACAAAGAACAGAGATACATTAAATGTATGGGTCACATTTAAAAAGCATTGGTTTTGCCCAGCCAGGTGGCTCAGGGGTTGAGCATCAACCTATGAACCAGGAGGTCATGGTTTGATTCCCCAGTCAGGGCACATGCCCAGGTTGTGGGCTCGATCCCCAGTGGAGGGTGTGCAGGAGGCAGCAGATCAATGATTCTCTCTCATTATTGATGTTTCTATCTCCCTCTCCCTTCTTCTCTCTGAAATCAATAAAAACATATTTTAAAAAACATTGGTTTTGCAAGTAATTTTCATTTATGTTCTTCTGGGTATTTTGGCAAAGCTGCCCTAAAACATGATAGCAAAACTGACAAGTGATAGCAACCCTCTTCTTTTTCTCATTCCTTATTAAGATAAGGGACTTACTGAAGGAAAAAAATAATAATAATAATAGAAATAATAAACTAAGAACTAAAGACCACTGACAAGGGGAGTTTAATTGTAAAATATAAAGATTGAGAATTAATTGCAGTTAACTTTTAGCTATATGAGTGCAATTCTTCATCTGTGTATATTGAACATGAATAGTAGCCTTTAGGATAACAATTCCCTGGATTTGGTTAAAAAAAAACAGTTAAGCAACATTTAACAAAGAATAAAATTGTTATTTCCATTTATATTGTTTTCACGGTACAGGCTACCCTTTTCTATGACTCTTTCTTAATGACATTTTTAAGAAATTAATAAATATGGCTACACTACATATGCAGAGACACAGCACCTTGAGATACTTTAAATCACATTTTGTATAATTCTCAGAAGAATAACTTACTTTGGAAGTAAGAAGGACAAGTATTGCAAAATTTTCTGAGGAAAAGAACAAGCCCCACAAAATTTGTATTCTGATTTAGAAAACAGATCTTTGTAAGGAAACTTCTATAATTCTTAATAGAGGTAAGATGACAGGATTGCTAGAGTTTTTCTGTTATAAAATCACCCAATCTGTCTTCAATTAAATGTTTTCCACCTTGCTCCATTTCTATTAGCCATTAATTCTTTCTTTAAACAATCTTCCTTTTTGACACAGTAATTACAGTGAGCAAAAAAATAATCCTGCTTTGTGGAAATGTACGCACTGTTCTGAATTCCTTTCAAAAGTAAGTTTGGGGTCCTAGATTTAAAGGCAACAGCTCATGAATTTTGACATTCAGACAGCTATACACATAATTTAATTAAGGAACTGACAATTTTATTTTCCCTTAAGTTATTTTTTAATTTGTTTTTGTATTTGGCAAACCCATAGAAAAGTCCTTTTGAGGTTATTGCCTATGATATTTCTTGGTCACTGAATTTGTAAATAGAAATTGTATAACGTTTTCAACAAAAATTTCTCATTAAAAGTAATACAGTAAAACATAATAAAAAAGGTTTCTACTATTAAAGTAGAAAAAAAATCACCATGGATTAAAATTTTGTTGTTGTTTAGTAATAGAAGTCTATTTATACCTAAGTATTTCCTGCTAAAATAGTTCAATATAACTTTTGTGCATTGTTGGAAAATAGGGTAACGTTTCAGAATGTGAACTCTGGAGCAAACAAGAAACTAATTACCTTTCAACCCGATTCCCTGAAGTAAACAATAACTATGTGAAACCCTTGCCCAAGTCTGTACATTATAAGCACACAGGTAGCAGTCATCATTCAGTTATAGACCATAGAGGGAGATTAGGGCTGTTAGAGGGACTAGTGCCATTCTTAATAAAGCTGACTTCATGAATTTTCTATTTTGTTTTTATGGAATTTGATTTTCTCTGTGAAATCTTCAGGGATTACTTAGTGAATTAAAGGTAACATATGCTAATATTCACCAATGCCTTTAGAAAAACCCTATCACTTCTGAAATGTTTTCCAGAGAAGCATAAGCACTATTTTTATAAAGGAAGTTGTTGGGGGGAAATAAGGCCTTTCATAACATATCAGAAACACGTTGTTTCCATTTACTTATTTATTATTTATTTACTTATTTATTTTTGGTGCTACCATGTGATTAAGGAACTCCTACTATAACAGGAAAATCCCTAGAATCAAGCCTGTCCTCTACCCCATCCATCCCCAACCTCACAAAGCTAGCATACAGTATTAGTACAAGATTTATATACTAAGTCTAGTACTATAAAGAGCGCTCAGCAATAATTCACATAATTAATTTCATAAATTGTCTCCCCTTTTGGCCTTTAACATTATATGTTCAAATGTGATAAACTTGGAACTATCTAAGTTTAGAAGAGGCAGAAGCAAGTTGGCTATTTTGACACTGGTTAGTATTGGAGGCCAATTGTAAATAGTCAAATCCAAGTATCTCCACCTGATTTATCTACCTTACAGAAGACCGTCATGATGTACATAGTGCTCATTTTGATGTATACACACATGAGTGTGTGGAGTGCCTGCCAGGGCCCCACCTGGTTGTCCCTTGAGTTCCTATAATTCATCCACTCTGACGGGCACAGTCATCAATCACCAGGGGCCAGTTGCTGAGATTATTAATGGCCCTGTGAAAACCTTGCTCATGAAATATTTGGATTGATAAGACCATTTTCTTATGGAGCTCAGACACCTGTAGACAGTCAAGCTAACCCAAGAAGTAAACATCTGACCTAATCCATGCATTGCCACAACTTCTCAGTGTCTAAGTGTGACATTACTGGACGATATGGTCAAGCAGACCATACCATTGATGACAATAGCTTCTGGTTGTTGTTTTTTCCCATCTAAGAGGTGAATATCTATTGTTGAGTGATGAATTCCTGTCTAAATCAATTATATTAATACTATTTCCTGCAAACTTGACTTCACACAAAAATAACACCACAGATGATGCTCAGTAAACTGTTGCATGAATGAATGAGAACGTTGCAGGTGTTTAACAGTAAGAGCATAAGTAACCGCTTCTGTGTTTTTAATCAGGGAATTAAAAAGTTAATTAGTCTCTATCTTCCTAGTGAATTGACTTAAAACCTGATTTGCATGCTCAGGGTGTGGGTGGCAGAAAGACAGGACGTTCTGACCACTAGCAATATGCTTTTAAGTGGTATTTGTAAGAGTCAACTGGAAAAAAAAGAAGTAAAATAAGTTTTAAAAGCAGTTCTTTCATTTCCTTTTCATGAAAAAATTAGACTACAAAACATATCAGTGGAAGGCACTTGCTTTACATTTGTCCAGCTCAGAACACTGTGTTGTTCAGATGACTCAGTGAAAGAATAGATCTGGTCTCAAATCCCCACTCACTTTTTTAAAAATATATTTTCATTGATTTCAGAGAGGAAGGGAGAGGGAGAGAGAGAGATAGAAACATCAATGATGAAAGAGAATCACTGATCGGCTGCCTCCTGCATGCCCCCACACTGGGGATTGAGCCCACAACCTGGGCATGTAACCTGACTGGGAATCAAACCCATAACCTCCTGGTTCACAGGTCAATGCTCAACCGCTGAGCCATGCCAGCTGGGCCTCCCTCAATTCTTTTTATAATATTATAGTTGTAGAGTTCTGCCCAGCTGGAGTCCAATGACTCCAGATAAGATAGCTAATCAACTTTCCAAAACTAAAAAATGCTCTGATTAAGATAATTTAATTCAGAACCCCCAATCCTGCCCTAATGTTGGCAGAATTGTTCACCATATGTAAAATTTTTCCCAGGAGCAATGTATATTTCATTCTGTTTCTAAAAGGCCAAATCCCAACCTGCTGTTTGGCAGATATTCATAAATTAGCTGAGTTCTTTACAAATGCTTCCACGTTCTTTCCTGATACACTGGTTTCAGGTGACTCTCACTCTAATAAACCACCTATGAAATCAGTGGGCCTTAATCAATCCTTAACTATTTGATCTACTATGTTTTACCTAACCACAACAATTATGAAGAGCAATGTAACACTCTTCATAGCATTCAGTGATCTGCCCTTAGTCTTTGACTTCCCAGAAGGGGACCATTTATAGGCTAGATTGCTTCTATGATCTCAAAATTTATTCAAGGGTTCAAAGATACCATCAGAATTCTAATCAAAGCAATGTTAAGAAAATAAAATGGGCCAAGAATGGCTCTCTTGACAAAGAACATTCTTACTGTTAAGGTATAAAACATGGTTATGTTCTTTAGTTTCTCTATAAATTTATACTTGCATAACTTGACATATCTTTTTGACAGAGCATCTCTATGCCATGTTGTCAATACAATGCAAGAAATACAAACATTTAGCTTCTCAGTCTGTTTCACAGCTAACATCTACTTAGGATTCAATATGGATTTGTCCTAATCAATGATAAAATCAATATTGTAAAAGTCCTACAGCATCTTCTGCAATTCTAACCTTAAAAATGATCCAGATTATCTTACCAGGTAGGTTTTAGGTACAAAGAGTGGATGAAACCTTATTAAAGGGCTTACTTGGTAAACAAGAAAACAGCAGTCTCCACAGTCACCCCTTTGAACACTGACTGGTGACTACAGTCATTGGACTAATTTTTTAGTCTCCTGCTTTATCTGGGATCTCCTTAGGAATGGCCAGCCCATACGTTCCGAAAAGCCAGCTACCCGGGCCTCTCATCTCTAGAAGCCTCTGTAAATGCCCGAATGCAATGGTCCACTCCCCAACCTCACACACCGATGGTCAGGGCCTCATGCTGTTGGGTGCTTTTATCCTGGATTCTTTGTTCCATTGTCCCTTCCAAAAACTCCCTTGTTATTTATTAACATTCAACACCCCCAGTCTTTTCATAAAATTCTTCCTCTCCTGCTTGGCT